AAATCCTTAATTAGTATAAGGTTGAGCAGCTAAATTTACTTTTGTTATTTAATAATTTAAATAAAAATTTTGGTTATAAGAGACTGCTGTTTCGCAGTAGCTGCTGTTACGCATTGCTTCAAAGTAAAACTGAAGCAAAAAGAATTTGCTTCGAATAAAAATGTGAAGCAGTAAAAATTGCTTCAAAGTAAAACTGAAGAAAAAAATAATTTGCTTCAAATTAAAATTTGAATCATTAAAAATTGCTTCAAAGTAAAACTGAAGCAAAAAGAATTTGCTTCGAATAAAAATGTGAAGCATTAAAAATTGCTTCAAAGTAAAACTGAAGCAATTTTGAGCATCTTACATTTTTATGTCAATTTTTCCAAAAAGTCTGAAAAATAAAAAATTTAGTCAAATTTGGACACTTTACCCTGTCATAACTTCCCAACAAATAATCCGTTTTGTAAAATTTTTCCGTTGCTGATAGAGAATTAAAAGCCCTTCAAAATGTACTAAAAAGCATATTTTTAAGATTTCGACTTTATGTCGAAATGTCGACGAAATATCAAAAAATCATGATTTTTTGCACTCAGACTCAAATATCTCTTTCGAGACTCAAGTGTCACCGCTGAAAATATTATTTTCGAACTCTCCGTGTTCGATAACCTAATTAGCATCAAATTCAGAATTTTTATATTAGCACGAAAAAAGTGATCTTTTGTCGCGCTGACGTTTTGTACTCATTCACCCCTACTAAATCCTAATTTGCCCCAACCCCGTTTCGTTGTGTCACGCATAACTCAATAACGGATAGTCGGATTGGCAAAATCTTTTTTTTATTCGATAGGGAATTCGGTGGATTTGTGCCCTTTAGTTGGGGCCGAACTCGTCAGAGTTCGGGATCATGTCGAAATGTCAAAAAAAATTTTTGACATTTTCGTCACAATCGACTTTTGACACGCTTAAGTCGACTTTTCAAACTTCTCCATAATTTTCCTCTATGGCCCCATATATCCCCTTTCAAATAAAAAAAAGTTTGTCCGGATCCGACTTTCGAGTCGAGCCCTATTTTTTCTTTCCCGGGGTACCCAAAAAAATTCAAAATTTTGATCAAAATTTTTGCCAAATTTTGACACTTTGAGGGGCCATAACTTTCGAACGGAAGGTCCAAATTTCAAAGTCTCTCGGTCATTCGATAGAGAATTCTCTTTTCTATCGCAGTAGTCAATTTCGTTTTTTTCGGACTTCGCCTTCATGTCGAAATGTCGAAAAAACGGACAATTTTGCAAAAATCCAAAAAAAGTGGGTAGTACCTCTTTCGACTCAAAATATTTCGGGTTAGGGAAATCGATTTCGAAAAAGTGCTTCGGTTAACCGTTGCAGAATTAAACGGGCTACATTTCATCTCCCGGACCCTTATTTTTCCAATTTCGTTTTGGGACATTCATCCTCAGTTTCGTGTTTCGAAATTTAGCGAAAACCGGTTTACGAAACAGATACGAAATTTCGTCTGGAACAAAAAAGATGTCTTCTGAGCAGCTGATATATCTATAAAAAATTTCAGGAAGATTGACCGATCCAAAAAAAAGTTATTAAAAATTTTAATTTGAGTTAGGTCGATTTTTTTATATATAGATAATAAAAATTGGGGTGACACTAAAGAGCACTTGTGTGTCAAATTTTAAAAATATATATAGGCAAAATACCGTATTTCCTGAAATAGTACTCCCCCCTAAATTAGCACTCCCCCCTTAAATAGTACTCCCCTTTGGAGGAGGGTTGAAAAATAGTACTCCCCCCTGAATTAGTACTCCCCCTAAAATAGTACTCCCCCCAAAAATATTTTTCCTCTATACATATTTAAAAAAATAATACGAGACATTGAATTATTTTATTTATTCTAAGTATCGTTGTCGGTTTCACTTGATTCTTTGATAAACAAAACCTGAGAGCTTTCGGTTAACCGAAAACGAATCGAAATTTTAAACTAAAATTTTTCGAGGATTAAAGAGATATAATCCGATTAATTGGTGGAGTAAAAGTGGATTTTGGGTATATAAAGGGATTGATATCGGGTGTAAAATGGGTTCTGTATTAATCAAGTGGCATTTAAAAGACATCATTGGATTAAGGTTTGATATAGGAATTTGAGGGAATAATGAAGGGGGAGTAATATTAGGCGATTTTGGTTGATTAAGAGCGATTAAGCGATAAGTTGAATCATAAATCCTTCTTAATCAACTAATATCGGAAGTACAAAAGGGATGTGGAGGATATCGGTGTTTAATATGATAAATAACTAGACAGAGATTAGGTAATCCCTAGACACATGGGTTTAGTTGACCCTGATAAATCTTAGACCCGAAAATCCCCTTATATCCCTCGATATCACTCCAAATTCACTTATATCCTTTTTGATTTCCCTCAATAACCCGTATTTTAAGTCACTTGTGTTTAATTGTCTCGCAATTTGCTCAATTTTATACTAATTCGGATATTTTCTACAACTTTTATTAAAGAAATTTTTTGAAAATCAGGGTCCGGATCCGGCATTTTTCAAATAGCGAACTCTAATCGAATTTATTTTGAGATAAATTGAAATAAATTAAAATATTTTTTTTAATTTTGAAATAAATTTTCCTATGAAAAATCATGGAGGATGGTTGAAAAATAATACTCCCCCCTGAATTAGCACTCCCCCCTTAAATAGTACTCCCCTTTGGAGGAGGGTTGAAAAATAGTACTCCCGGGAGTACTATTTTAGGAAATACGGTATATATATATAGGCAAAAAGCTCTATATAGGCAAAAAGCGGCCAAAGGCTAAAAAATTGAAAATAAATTGGATTTTGATAGAAAAAAGAGAAAATTGCCCTTTTGATCTTAAAAGAACTTTATCTTTCATCCGTCTAATCGTCTACCGTATCAGGACAGTTACCATATGGACAATTCCTCGTATAACTGAATTGTTCAGCGAATTGTCCATATGGTGAATTACCCTTGGGATATTGTTTTTGATGAAACATTAAAAACTACAAAGTCAGGACAGTTCACCGTTCGGACAATTAATATGGAGTTTACGGTGAATTGTCTATATCGTGATTTACCCCATACGGTGAACTGTCTTTTGGTTAACTGTCTTAATGCCTCAAAAACCTATCACAAAATATTGCCCCTGGGCTTGCGACAAAATGAGAGAAATTTGCGTTATTGTCCAAACATTTTTAGATCACAAATTATTTCTTCCAGGCCAAAGTATTTTACTTTTTAAGGAAGTATATTTAAACATCATTTTCAAAAGTGTCATAAGGAAATGATTGCCATCTTCAATTAAAAATTTTTATGAATGATAATAAAAATTTGGGGTGACACTAAAGAGCACTTGTGTGTCAAATTTTAAAAACATTCTTGGGGGTCGAGAAAAGAGGAAAGGAATTATGAGGGCAAAAAAAGGTGGAGTGAAGAAGTGAAACAACCAGCCGCCACCTACCACCACCATCAACTACAGAGAGATTTGTAAACAAAACATATAAAATATTTTTTGTTGGAGAAAGACGTGGTGTGGCCATAAACTAGAGAGAGAATTCTTTTATAGAAAAAAATAAAAATAGCCTTTGGAACACAAAAATGAGCAAAAAATGAACGGGGAAGTAAATGGACATTTGGTCCCAGCTGAGATTTTAAGGAAGAGGAAAATTTATTTTTTAGTCATTTAATAAGTGGACTTGGCAAAAAATAAATTTTTTTGCTTTCTTAAAATAAATATTATTTTACACTCAAACCTCTATTTAGTATACACTCAATACTAGGCACATCTCTATTTTAAGTCTTTCAAAGTTTGTTTGTCAAGGGGAGGCCCATTTAGGATCCTTTCATTATTAAAGACACCTCACTATAAGATACTATCGCTATAAGCTACTTACCCTCATTATAAGATACCTCCAATACTAAACACACCTCTATTTAGGATAGAGGTGTGTTTCTTTTTTATTTTGATAAGTCACTCGTTGTGAAAGTTGTCTCAACGATTACCCCTCTATTTAATATACCCCTCAATATAAGGGACCATATTTACAGTCAGAACTCTATATAGGATACACCCAATACTAGGTACACCTCTATTTAAGATACGCTCCTTAAAATTTGGTTGCCCATTGAGAGGGGAAGCTGTCCAAACGATTACCTCTCTATTTAACACACACCTCACTATAAGGGACCATATCTACAGTTAGAGCTCTATATAAGAGATGCTCAATACTAGGTACACCTCTATTTAAAAGACTCTCCTTAAAATTTGCCTGCCCATTGAGTGCGGGAGCCTTCTAAGCGATATCCTCTATTTAATACACACCTCATTATAAGAGACCTTCCTTCACCCTCAAGAGATTGTCCAATAATAAGGTCCAGCTGTACTTTCATTTCTAGTAATTTCTTAATTTACTATTTATTTATTTAACTTTTGCTTCTAAAAAATAACAAATAATAAGCTTGTTGTTTTTGGATTTCTACTAAAAAATGAGAGGAGAAAGTTCACGTGCTTAATTCTAATAAAAATAAATTCAATAAATTCCAAAACAAAAATATTTTGTTGTAAACAACAGATCGATTCACTGAATATTTTTGTGCTTTCTCCTTGTTTTTGTTTCCTTACTATTTTTTAAATGTTCTGTCATTAAGCCAGAAATTTTTTTTTCTAATTTTCAAAAAAATTACTTTCTTGGCCAATTTACCCCTTTATATTCACCATGTATTATCCTTTATATAGAAATGTCCACGAAAAATGTCCGCAAGAAATGTCCGCAAAAAGTGTCCGCAAAATTTTGTCCGCAAAAAAATTTTGTCCGCAAAAATTTGTCCGCAAAAAAATTTTGTCCGCAGAATCTGTCCGCGAAATTTGTCCGCAAAAAAATTTTTGTCCGCAAAAATTTGTCCGCAAAATTTGTCCGCAAATAAAATGTCCGCAAATTTTTTTTTATTTTTTAGAGAAAAAAATATTCATTCCAAATTATATTTCAAAAAATGACATCAATTTCCTCTTCCTGCTCTTCCTCATCTTCTTCATTTTCTTCATCAAACAACTCAAAAAATAATAAAAGCGTCAGTCCCTTAACCAATTTTATCAACGAAAATTACAGTCAACAACAATTTTCTGAAATAAAATTTGAACAAAATCGGAAGACTTCAACAACAGAAAATCAGCAAAATTCGTCACAAATTACCCAGCAACAAATACAATTATTGGAAATGCTGGCTAAAGCTGGCTTGATTCCTTCAAATTCGTTGCCGAATAAGCAAGAAGATGGAGATGAACAACAAAAAGAAAGTGGAGGAAATAATGAGGGTTGCGGTGATTTGTTTGACTCAAATTCGCTTTTTGATAATGTGAGGATTTTTACTATACTGGAAATAGACTACTGTCGAACCTCTCTATTGTAGACACCCTTGGGGCTGGAAAAATAGTCTCTTATAATAAGGTGTAGCTTAAATAAAGGTCAAATCTTACTATAAGAGACACCCTCCGGGCTGGAAAATAGACTCTTATAATAAAGTGTAGCCTACATAGAGGTCGATCCTCGCTATAAGGACACCCTTGGGGCTGGAAAAATAGTCTCTTATAATAAGGTATAACTCAAATAGAGGTTGATCCTCACTATAAGAGACATCCTTTGAACAGGAAAATTTGTCTCTTATAATAAGGTGTAGCCTAAATAGAGGTCGATTCTCACTATAAGAGACACCCCCTGAGGCTAGAAAATTTGGTCTCTTATACTGAGGTGTAGCTTAAATAGAGGCCGATCCTCGTTATAAGAGACACCCTTGGGGCTGGAAAAATAGTCTCTTATAATAAGGTGTAGCTTAAATAGAGGTTGATCCTCGTTATAAGAAGATACACCCCTGAGGCTAGAAAATTTTGTCTCTTATACTGGGGTTCTTTTATGGAGTTCAAACCTCATTTTTAGATATACCCATGGGGTCTGAAGAATTTGCCTCTTAAACGAGGTCATCTTTTCTCACACCCGGGGGACTGGGCTTTTGGCGTGGTCGTAAGTTTTGCCATATTAAACTACCTCGCGACTTTACGGGTGCACCAAGACTACCCCAAGGGCTCCTATAGTTAAAGAAACGTTATCAGCTAATGTTGGGTTATATTGAGGCTGTTATTGAGGTTCGACTCTTGTAAATAATATTGAATATTTTCTAATTTTTCTTTAATTTTTAGTTATCTGGTTTACCCAATTTTTCTGAAAAACAATCAGAACAAGACTTCCAAAATGAAGAAAAAGGACCACTCGGCCAACGCAAACGACGCCGTTTAATTGGAAATTTGGATAATACACTTGATGGCTTGGTTGCTAAAAGGGCCGATTTGCCGTTGAAGAAACGTTATCAATCAGAAACGGAAGCTATTGAATTGCCTGATGATGAACAGGAAATGAAGGTGGAGAAGAGTTGAATGTAGTAAAACCTCTATGTAAGATACTCCCTTAGGGTTTAGAAATTGTCGCTTATAATGAGGTGTATCTTAAATAGAGGGTATAGCCTGGGCGGCCTTCTACACTCTGTGGCTATCAAATTAAAAGTCGTACAGGGCCGGAACCAGAGAATCCCGGCCTACCGGAACCGGAACTCCTGCACAACACTACTAGATACGCTCTCTTAAAATAAAGTTGGCCACTGGGTCGAGGAGATGTTTAAACGATTCCCCCTCTGTTTAACAAGGGGGTTTTAGAGACGGTATTAATAAAATAATTTTTAAATCATTTTAGCGAATGGAAACAGATCCAGATGTGTGTACCCGAATGTGTTCTGTTTGTGGTTATCAAGGCAAATGGGTTTCTGAAATGATTAGACACAAAAGAGTTCATACAAATGATAGGGTAATTTAATTGAATTTGTCTGTTTTAAAAATGTTTTTAAGCCCTTTAAATGTAAATATTGCAACAGAACAAGTAAATGGAAGGCAGATTTGATTCGTCATGTAGCAAGTAAAATTTTAATTGGCAGTCGTGTGTGTAGCCTGAGGGGCTTTTGCGAGCTGAAAATCTCCGTAGAAAAATTGTCCCAAGAAGATTGTCCGCAAGTCGAGGTCCACAGGAAAAAGTCCGCAAGAAAAATCCGCAATTAATGTCCGCAAAACATTGTCCGCAAAAAAATGTCCGCAAATATTATCCGCAAAAAATATCCGCAAACCCCTAGGCTACACTTGTGCCATTTATTCTACTCCAGTTTTCCTTACCCTTTTAAAAAATTATATTTTAGAAACTCATGGTATTCGTGTTGTTTCAAAATATAGCCGTTCAAAAGCTTTTGATTTTGGTAAAAATAGCAATAAATCCTCTACGGAACAACAATTAACAATAGATGATGTAATAATGGACGTAAGAGCTGATGACGACAATTGTTCTTCGGAAATGACAACAAATATTGTTGATAATAATGATGATGATAATATGATGACAAATAGCAATAATAACAATAATAAAATTGGAAGGAAGGTGAGAATTCGGAAAAATATTTTAGATACAGTGAAAGCTCGCTTGTTCTTACCTTATGTACCTTACTTACCTCACTCACCTACTAAACTTCCCAATTTAACGTCAGGGTTTTCTATCCGAAAAGTGACTTAAGTGAGATCGGCTTTCAGTTATACGACATCATTTTAACGTCATTTTTGTATGAGTCGTATAAGTGAGATTCTATTATACCCTTTCCTTGAGGTCGTTTACATTAGGGTTATATCTTTCTGTTATGTACGTGACTTGTATGTCTACGTACTAACAAAGAATAAACACAAGATAAGACAGTATCTAACAACTGTGCTTTATCTACAATACGAAATACAATAAAGGCGAACAATAGGAATATGGCTAAGCGCCGAATACGTTGGAGACAGAATAGAATAACAGAATAACACTGCGACAATAGACTAAGACCAAGACTGAATAATAGGAAGGCTTTTATACTAAGCCAATACCCAACACCTCCCTCTTTTAATAAGAATAACTTACACTTGAATAAAATAATACTCCGAATAGTGTCTCCAAACAAACAAAACAAAAAATACATACAATGGGGCAAATACAATAATTACAAAGGGGGCAATACAAAAAATACAACAACAAAATATTATCACACAACTAAACAAAAAATTCATATTATCTCAACTTCAAACATCGATCATCTCGTCTTCGAAAAAATTTGAATTGGTTCCTCTCTATACCTTTTTTGAGTAGTATTCTCTACTACTAATCTTTTAGGTGGTCGAATTGTTCTTTTAGGTCTTTCACATCGAATTTCATTATCAGGTTTATTTTGAATTGTACTCTTTTTATTTGGACTTGGAATATTTTGAATATTTTTATTCCGAATATGTTGTGGAGTTCTCCACCAAAAGTTTACAACATGTTGGTTTTCAAAATTTTTTATTTTTCTTAATTGGTTCGCATGTCGGTGAATAATAGCTCTTAATTTATCCGATTGAATCTTGAATACTACTCCATTTTTGCTAATTATCTTTCCAGGTAGCCATTGAATTTGTTTATTTTTGTCGTAATTTCCGAATAGAATATTATCTCCCACTTCGAATCTGTTTAATTTGGTTCCGTGATGCCTATCAAACCATTTTTTCATTTTATTTCGAATCTCTTCTCGTTGAATATTAATTGAATTTACTGGGTTTTCAGGTTTGACTAATGCTAATTGAATTCGTAATTTCCTATTTAAGAATACTTCTGCCGGCGATTTTCCGCCTAATGAATAATGTGGGGTGGCTCTATAATTTAATAATACTTCTTGTAGCCAGTTACTCTTTCCCCAATTTTTGTTCATCATCCTCTTGAAATAATCTACGAATCTTTCAGCCTGACCATTAGACTGAGGATGATATGGTGGGCTGAATATTTGATGAATTCCCTTACTAATGCAATAATTTTTGAATTCGAATGACTGGAATGGACTTCCGTTATCGGATACAATTACTTTAGGAATTCCATAATGCGAGAATAACCATTCCAGGTTTTTTATTGAATCTTTTGCTGACGTAGTCGTATTTCCGAATATCTCAGGCCATTTAGAATACGCATCGACTATAATCATATATAATTTTCCATCCTTGCATGGACCAGCAAAATCAATATGAATTCTTTCCCACGCTTTATTTGGTGCTGGCCATGGACTTAAATCTGTTTTAATTGGCATTTTTGATGCCTTTTGGCATGAATCACAATTTGTAGCGATCTCCTCAATATCGTTACTAATACCAGGCCAATAAATATATTCTCTCGCTAAATTTTTCATCCTAACAACTCCTGAATGAGTTGAATGTAATGAATCAAGAATCTTTTTTTGAAGTTTAGCAGGAATAACGACTTTGTCTGCGAATAGAATACAACCATTAATTATTTGAAGATTTTGTCTTCTTGTAGACCAAAATTTTAATTCCGAATCTTCAATTTTCTTTGGCCAACTATTATTTCGAATATAATCTATGACTGTTTTTAATTTAATATCGTTGTCCGTCTCGATTTTTACTTGGTTACTATCGATTGGTAACTCTTCGAATAGAATATTTAATACGTAATTAACTGAATTTTCGACTTCATTTAATTCCTCGGGTGGACCACTGTCGAATGTGTTCGAATCTGAGACTAAAGCAATAATCTTATCTTCGTTCTCTGAATTTTTGCTAATTAATCTTGATAGGCTATCTGCCATGCCCATTTTTTCTGTAGAAACGAATTCTATCTGAAAATCATAATTTGTCATGATTAATGCCCATCTTTGTAACCTCGAAGCCGTTTGAATTTTAATTCCTTTTTTATTTCCGAATATTGCTAGTAATGGTTTATGGTCGGTTCTTAATTTGAATTTCCGACCGAATAACATTTTATGGAATTTCTGAACGGCAAATACTAATGCTAAGGCTTCCTTTTCAATTTGCCCATAATTTTTTTCCGAATCACTTAATGATTTACTAGCATATTCGATTGCCTTTTCGCTTCCGTCCGAATATTTGTGGGAGATTACTGCTCCGACTCCATAATTGGACGCATCCGCTGTAACAATAATTTCGAATTGCGGATCAAAATGCGTTAATAATAGATCTGAACTCAGAATCGACTTAATTTGTTCGAATGCTTTCTCTTGTTCTTCTTCCCATTTCCAAATTGAATTCTTCCTAAGTAATTTGTCTAATGGGCCTCTGAATTGATGCATCTGATCTACGAATTTTGAATAGTAATTTATTGTGCCCATAACTGACTTTAATTCTTTAATATTTTGAGGTCTTGGTAATTTCTGAATAATACCCTTTTTCTTTGGGTCTGGCTTAATGCCTTCTGCGGAGACTATATGACCTAGGAATTTCAATTCAGGCTTAAAGAAATTACATTTTTCCAATTGAATTTTTAATCCATATTTCTGGATTCTTTCGAATAATTGAATTAGAATTTTTTTATGTTCGGTTTCATTTTCCGAAGCAATAATCAAATCGTCTAGATAAGCGAATACTCCTTTTAATCCACTGATTAATTCATCCATTAATTTTTGGAATATTGCTGGTGCTGACTTAACTCCGAATGGTAATCGTTGTACTTCGAATAATCCTTTATGTGTATTAATATTTGCTAATTTCTTTGAATCTGAATCTAATTCGACTTGTAAATATGCGTCACGCAAGTCTAATTGGGAGAATATTTTATTTCCGTGCATTTCAGACCAGATTTCTTGTGGAGTTGGCAATGGATATTTATTAAGCTCTAGGGCTTCATTTAATCCCGTCGAATAATCAATACAAACTCGAATTTTGCCATTTGCCTTTTTTACTGCAAGAATAGGTGCTGCCCAATCAGCGAATTCAATAGGTCTAATAGCACCCATTTTTAATAGTCGATTAATTTCTTCTTCGACTGAATCCTTAACTCCAATTGGCACTGGTCTTGCTCTAACGAAAACTGGTTTAGCTCCTGGTTTTAAGTGAAGATGGGCTTTTGTTTTGCTACAATGCCCCAGACCCTCTTCGAATACTTGACTGAATTTTGTTTTTAATTCTGCCTGAATTTCTTCTTGAATATCCTTTTGAATTATATACATTTCTTTATTTTCACTAATAGTCGGAATTATCTCTTTTGCAATGGAATTTATTGAATCATTTGAATCCTTGTCGGATAGCGTTGTCACTATTGGATAACCGAATTTTTTCTCGAATGTGATTATCCAAGGTAATCCGAATAAATTCATTTTTTCTTTCGTTACATATACTAATAATATCTCCTCAAGTCCGTTTAGGATAATAGAACAAAAGAACCTTCCAAGAATTCTGAATTCATCACCTGTGTAGCTTTTACCATTGAAGTTGACCTTCGTCAAGAATGGGCTGCCGACTTTTTTCCAAGTCTCCTCATTAATGCAACTAATTTGCGCCCCCGAATCGAGAATGAATTCAACCTTTTGCCCATTTAACAAAACCTCTTTTTTAATCCATTCGAATTTTTGCTCTGTAGAGACTGACAATATTTCTGCCGAATACTTTTTGTTTTCCGAATCTTTTTTTACTTTTGTTGTGATACACCCGTCACGAATATAATTGAATAATTTTTTCATCATGGTACAATACTTAAGAATAGGTTCGAATTGAATAACTGTGACCGCGCCACTGTTATGTACGTGACTTGTATGTCTACGTACTAACAAAGAATAAACACAAGATAAGACAGTATCTAACAACTGTGCTTTATCTACAATACGAAATACAATAAAGGCGAACAATAGGAATATGGCTAAGCGCCGAATACGTTGGAGACAGAATAGAATAACAGAATAACACTGCGACAATAGACTAAGACCAAGACTGAATAATAGGAAGGCTTTTATACTAAGCCAATACCCAACACTTTCCCAGCAAATTGAGGAAGCGACACATTCAATTTAAGATACACCACATTATAAGATGAGATTTTTTATCCCTTCGCTTATAAGATACGCTCACTTTAACGTCAAATCTTTTGCAGCACGAGAGGTGTCGCACAAGTGAGATCCCATTGTAGTTTAGTTAACATTAGGGTCCCGTCTCTGTAAGTCGGGGAAGTCATTACCCTCTATTTGAGATACACCTCATTATAAGACGCTTTTCTAGCCCCAGAGAGGTTCCCTATAATGAGTTCCCCCCGTGTACTTTTTCAATCCAAATTCCTATATTTTACAGCAAAGTACTTCCTCCTCAACAGCATTTTCCGAGTCGCTCAATTCCATGTTTCGCAAAGCCCAACGTCTCAATGGATTAAACAAAAATACTAGTCAACCAATAAATAAATTAACAAAACAAAAACAACAACGAAAAATCAAAACAGAAAATTTAAATCAAAATAATGAAGGAGGGGAAGCCTCTTCAATTTTATTCAATTTATTGTCCCAACAATTGGCCAACAAACAATTAATTAATGCTACAATTAGAGAACAAATACAGCAACAATTATGTGCTAAAAACAACAATGTTTGTAATAATCAGGAGCAGAAACAACAACAAATTTACAAGTGTGGATTGTGTATTTTTCAGCAGGTAAGGTTTTCAATTGAAAGATTCTGGCTCTAGTCTAGTTTGGAGTCCTTTGAACCTTTAAGAGTACAATGAAACTTTTTTGAGTCCAATAAAAATTTTATGAGTCAATTGGTGTAAGGATGATTCACCTAGAAGGATAAAAGAGAAAGCGATGCCCCGGTAAATCAGTAGTAGAGCTCCTGTGTATGGTGAGCAAAAGCGCCTAGCAATGTCAGGCGGACGCATGTTCGATCCTGCCCGGTGGCTTTCTATGGTAATACTGCGTTTGTGCCCCATCTATTTTTTACTAAATAGGTGCATAATGGTCAGAATTTTTCTTCAGATCGGGTGTTGAGCTTCGGGTATCACGTCCCCATTCATGGAATATACCTGACTTACACCCCATCGTTAGTGTATGCCTAACTTACAGAAACAAGGTACTTTACGAGTTACTTGGATTCGTAAAAACTTTGTTGGACTCATAATGTTCAATTGACTTATAAAACTTCATTGGACTTGTAAAGGTTCTTAACTGAGCCTAAATTAACTGAGCCTAAATTCTTCCATAATTTTATCTATTTTTTAGCCCTCCTATCCTTTACTTGTCTCTCATTTACTTGGAGTTCACAATACTTCCCCATTTTGTTGTCAGGTATTTTTTTAATTTTTTAAGATTCTTAATTAATTGCCCAATTAATTTTCAAGTCTTGTAATCGTTCTTTTACACAAATTGTTTCTGCTGCTGATCATTTTGCTACAGACAAGTGTCCTCCTAATGCATTAAAGTGGAATTTTTTGGTTGATTCTGTTGTTGGAAATGAACATTTTGAGTCAAAGTGAGAAAAAATTTATTTAATATGATTTTCGGACGAAATAACTTTGGATGAAACTTGCGGACAAATTTAAAACTTGCGGACAGAATTTGCGGACAAATTTAAAACTTGCGGACTTTCTAAAAATTTTATTTTTAAGTCAAACCCCATTAAATTTGTTTGGACAACGTTTAGCTGCATCAGCTTCAAATAATATTTTATTTCATCAAAATATGCATCAAAATGCCAATTTTAATGGTTTTGGAGGTCTTTTGCCTCCGGCAATATTTCCCTATGGATTACCAACAATGGCATTTCCTCCACAATATTCTGGTCATTCAATAGCTCAATTACATGGAATTGGGTAAATTTTTTTTAATTAGTCGACGCTCGCTATAAGCTACACCCAATAGTAAATACACCTCCATTTGAGGTACGTTTTAAGAGGTAGTTGGCCACGGGGTGCTGCTTATTTAAAAGACGCTCCCTAGAAGGTCATAGGACACTCCCTTTAAGATACTTACTCTTATTATAAGGCACTTTCATCATAAGAGACACCTCTATTTAACACTTGTTTTTTAAAGATTTGGTTAACCAATGGGTAGGGGAGCAGTCTAAGCGATACCCTCTATTTAAGATTACCTCATTATAAGAGACAGGAGGGTACGGTTTTTCCCAGGGTGTCTCTTATAATGAGCTTCTCTCTATTTAATCAAAATAGATTAATTAAAAATATTTTTTTATTAAAGTCAAAATTGTTGTTCTCCCGGTTCTGCCATTTCTACAGCACCATCTTACGCCTCATTAATTAATAATAATTGTGAAAAGCCAAACCACATGGAAAAGAATAATGAGGATGATAATGTTGAAATTGTGGAGGATTTGAAGAGAGAAATAAAAGTAAATACATACTATTCGAGTTTATTACTGTAGACTAGGGGAAAGAGTTGTTGAAAATATCCGCAAAAAATTAAAAATCCGCAAAAACAGTCCGCAAAAAATTTGCAGAAATCCGCAAAATCTGTCCGCAAAAATTTTGCGGATTTTCTGCAAAAAATCCCCTCAGTCTACAGTATTGCCATCCTATTTGGCAGAATACTCTATAATTAATTTTATTTTTTAAAGTCTTCCCAATCACCAGAATTAAAAATACCAGCACCGGTCACAACAACATGTCCTCTTCCATACAATTTCAAATTACAACAAAAACATTCGCCGTTGGAAGCAGAAACTGCTAATAAAAACGAACAAAATTTGGATGATACAGAGGATTTTTGTGTTAATGTTGATGATATTAAAGTTGAGGAAGAAAAATCTGGGGATGAATTACAAAATGAAGATGCTATTAAGGTAGTTGAATCTCCCCCGCCTTTCCTCCTCTTTCGCCCCCTTTTCCTCTCCCTCCTCAAAAGCTTTCAGTCGGTGTTTAGGAATTTGGTGGGATAAGAATAATCTATATCCGAACTAAGTCAAATGGTAGTGGAGATAGGGTCATTTTGAACATGTTATGAGAAGCAATAACAGTCACGGCTGATCCCCTATCCTTGCAAAAATTAGAGAGTTTGAGTACTGGAGTGTTACGAACCAGACTTGGTAATGGACATGGATTTTCGTATCCGTATTCGGATATTTACGGTGGATACAGGCGGGTATCAGCAGGCATTTTGAAATTATCTGTATCCATTACCAAGTCTGTTACGACCCCTGTAAGGTTAGTATGTTCAAGCTGGGAAAAAAATAGCAGTGGTTTTGGCTACTGGAACGTTTCCTTAAACCTGATTTTCTAAAATCTTGACTCTTCATTTAATCTATTAATTAATAGAATACTTCGTTGGCTGCTTTAATGCTTCTTAATGTTGTACAAATGCAGCAAAAATTAACGGCTTTAGATGATACTCCAAAAACAACTCAACAAGAACAAGTAAATACTTATAGGTTCTTTTGTTCGTTATCACGGCAAAAATCTACAAATTTTATCCGCAGACAAAACTTGTGGAAAAAACACTTTCCACACCCCTACACGAAAGAATGAAAAATCCCTTCCACAAATGCAGTTTTTCTGTCTTTCAAAAAAAAATTTTTTTTGAAAATTTTGAAAATTGATAGGATTAACAATAATGTCTGTTGTTGTTTGGGAGAAAAACATTTTTCAAAGGAAGGCAATTGCCCTCGAAAAAACTTCCTCATATTCACCTTTTTTATTCAAATTTTTCCTTTGTATTACCGCTTATTTTACAATCAGTTTTATTATTATTTTCCCATCCTTCAAATTTCTTCCCTTTTAAAAAGCCGACAAAAAACTTGCCCTTACCCCCTCTTTTTCTCCTTTTGCCGTCATAACCGTCTCCAACCTTTTTATTCATAATTTCCCTCAATTTCCCTCATTTTAGGTAATTTGCCCAACAACATCTACCACGACCACAACATCAGCAACTACCAACAATAATACTCCATCGTTGGCTGCTTTTAGTCAATTTTTGGCTGAATTACAACATCGAACTTCTACTGCTTCTTTTCAATAAAAAAATTTAAAAATTATGTGTTCGAGAGCTTTATTATTCCAGTCGAACTTCTTTATAAGATACACACACCCTTAAAGCTGGAAAAATTGTCTCTTATAATGAGGCGTATCTTAAATAGAAGATATCGGTTAGGGAGCTCCTCTCTAGTGGTCAACAAAAATTTTTAGGAGGAGTATTTTATAATGAGAGACATTTGCGGACAAAAAAGTGTCCGCAAAGATTTGCGGACAAAAAATAAAGTCCGCAAAAAATTTGCGGACGAAAAAAAGTGTCCGCAAAAAATTTGCGGACGAAAAAAAAAGTTGCAATAAATTTGCGGACAAAAAAGTCCGAAATTTTTTGCGTCCATAGCCAATGCCAATTTGATTTTATTGGAGGTAAATGATGTATCTTATTAATGAAGTCCGACTGCAAATTAAATTATAAATTATTTGGTCTAGTTGACCAGCAAAAGAAAAATTATTATAAGCATTTTTAAATAAAATTTTAAATAATATTTATTTTAATTGTAAAAAAAATATTTTTTCAAAATACTTTTTGCTTTAATTTTTGGTATATTCTGTCTAAAAAAATCAAAAAAAATCTCTCTCAAGTATGTAAATCTCTCTTCTTTTCTTTCTTCCATTTTTAAAAATGTGCAATTTATTTTTTTGAAATTATGTAGTTAGTGAAATAATTAAATTATGTAATAAAAACCTTATTTTATGTATACACCCTTTGGACCGAAAAAATTGTTCTTTGAAAAGGTTTACCTAATAAGGTAAATTATTTGGTACCATTTTGTCCCATTTTAGTCGTTATACCATTTTGTCGTAATTTACCCGTTGTTCCATTTTGTCTTATTTCACTCGTAGTTCCATTTTGTCGCAATTTACCCGCTGTAACATTTTGACCGATTTTAGTCGTTGTGTCATTTTGTCGTAGTTTACCCGTTGTTCCATTTTGTCTTTGTTACATTGTTTGGGATATCCCTTAAGCTCCAACCTAGTGACCAACTTGAGATTTAAAAAAGTACTCTAAATCGAGAGTTCACTCATTTGGGATGGGGGAAAATACATAAATGAGGTTTTTAATTTTCCACATTTGTATCTTCAAAAATCGTTAAAAAAAATTTTTCTTCAATTTTTTCAATTTTTAATTACTCGTTATCTTTTGGCTTCTTCCTTTGTTTTCTATATTTATTTATCTAAAAAATATTTATTTATTTTCCAATACACACTATAAAATATATTTTTATGTACATTTATTCGAGTGATATTTCCCTTCAATTGAAGAATTTTCACATATTTATTTTCCAAATTTTCATGTCTTTAAATTTAAATATATTTTCATGGTCATTTTTTTTTAGTTAAATTGTTCTTTCTTTTTTTAAATAAATGATTTCCTATAGAGTTTTAAAAATGAATTACCTATTTAGTAGCAAGCCGCAGTGCCAATTTGTCTTATTTTAGGTGCTGTACCATTTTGTCGTGGTTTACCCGGAGTTCCATTTTGTCTTATTTTAGTCGAGGTACCATTTTGTCTCATCTTACCCGAAGACCCATTTTGTCAAAATTTACCACGTACCATTTTGTCTTATTTTCCTCGTTGTTCCATTTTGTCTCCTTTTGGCCGATGGGGTACACGACTAATAGGCGCAGACGAATAGGCGCAATTTTTTCGGCGCAGCATGTTTTCGGCGTCGAGGGAAAAAATTTAAATATACAAATAATAGCTCGTTTGCATGCATTATACGAGCTTTATCGATGATACTGAAACCAGCTTGATTCAAAATTATGCATAAACTTATGACCAACAGAATCTTCGCTGGAAAAACTGTTTTTGTGCTGCTACGGAGGGTAGGCCGGGCATGGTCTTCGCTACACGATGGCCGTGCTTCGCTGCGGTCGTGCTCGCTTCGCTTGCGGCGACCGTAGCGAAGCGGCGGCCGTCGTTCCGCTCGATATGCCCGGCTTCCTCCGCAGCGGCAAAAACTTTTTTCCGCGTAAATTGATGTGTTTACGCGTTTTTGCGTTAAACGCCGAAAATAGGCTGCGCCGAAAAACTTTCGCCTATTCGTCTGCGCCTATTCGTCCTGCTCCGGGCCGATGTGCCATTTTGTCTGGGTACGCGCTGTACACTTGAGTATGAATTTTGTTTATTTTTCATTTTTTAAGAGTTTTGTAAATCAATTTGGAGTCAAAGTCCAAGCGTTCTTCATCATTCTTTTTTTCTCCCTTCATTTCCTCCCTCACTTTACCCCTTACATTTTTGTAATATTTAGTTTTATTTCCTCATTCATTGATTTTTTGTTTGTTTACCAAACAAACAAATTTTTCTAAATTTTTATTTTTTCAGGATTTTTTAAAATTTAATTCAATTTTTCTACAAGAAATCAAATAATGCCTTCAATTCCACCTGTTATGCAAAAAGTAATTGCGGATCTCGACAAGAAACTTCATGAGCCTGGGGCTTTAACTTCCATATTGGAGACGATTGAGAAGAAGACCAGCGTTAAACGTCTGCATGTGTTTGCAGGTTTCTTTTTTGGATTTCATTATAAGACACCCTTTGAGATATAGCCTCAGATTGGAATACCTTTTTAGTTTGGTTGAAAATTGATTCGATTCAGAGACTGATTTAATGGCGCGGGGGTGGATAAGGCCTGCAATTGTTATAAGTACCCCATCCTCAGCCTTTGAGGTGGCTTCATATCAATTACTTTTCCTTCTAGACAGCTCTCACCAGTCAGTCGACTCGCATTCAGAAATCTGTATTCAGTGGCTGCGGAGGGTACTTGTAATGGGGCCGGACCTAGCCCCTCAACTTAGAAATAGAGAGCATTCTTAGGATATAAGGGGCTGCTGAGTCACTGGGTGTGAGCAATACCTCCCCATTTTGAGAAACCTCCATTATAAGAAACTATTTTCGGTTACTAATGGGGTGTCTTTAATTGAAGTCAGATTGTGTTAATTTAAGGTTTTGTTCTCGTCTACTCACTCTATTTGCTTTTCGGACATTGGGCACAACTGGCATGCAATATAACCGGATATCTCTACCCAGCGTAATTTTTAAAATATTTTTCATTTTGTTAAAATTTTTATTTAAAGTTATGTCTCGATAAAGGCTATTGAAAGTCACACAAAGGAGGATGACACACAATGGCTGACTTACTGGGTTCATTTTTATTTAATTTTGGGGGTACTCAAGGACATGCTTTCTTGGGAGGCTTTCAGGAATTCCATTGATTTTGGGTCACTAACGTTTTCTTTATTTTTGGTGTGAAGGTGACTGGGTTTGGGAAAAGCTTTAAGAGTAAAGTAAGAGTTTATCTCCTTGAATATTTGAAAAGATAAGCCAAGCCTGTCCAAAATACCTAGTAACGTTAGAGATAATCAGTAGTGGGTATGGCCTGGAACTTTTTCCTTGAGCCAGAACCCAGCTCTAGTTTATGTTGATGTCGTTTTTGACCGAAGTTTCCTTATAATCTCCTATGGATGTTATGAACCTCACTCCTCTCTCCCAACTCGTGAGGGTTCACAAAGTTTCTTGGGACACAATCAGTTTTGGAACCAGGGATGAGGTCGGCGTACAAACTTGCGCACAAAAATCTTCCCCCCCCCCCTTCCTCCCCTTGCCCACCCCCAAAAATAATTCTGGTTACGGCCCTGTTTGGACCACATGTCCTACACTAAACTCAACAACCCTCGCTAATTCAACTTTAATTTAGGTCGTCTTTGCACTCCTCAACATTATCGAATTCTTTTCCGACTCAATTCTCTACTACTTTCCATTTTACTTTCTTCTCAAAGTTTTTTTAATTTTTTTATTTTGAAAAAAAATCTTTTTTTTCAAGTGCATCTTCCTCCTTTGGCTCTACATGCCATCGACTTTGGGAGCTATTCTTATCTACGACCGCCTCATCCGACCGTTCTGTCTCCAGTATACGGCTCATGTTGAGGAGAAGCTCAACAGCGGTTCGTGATTTTTATTTTTTATCGAGTTTGGGATAAACTACTAGAAGACTTCCCTGGTTCATGCGAGTTGGATTCCTTACATTTTTTGGGTCAGACCATTATTTGTGTATATTCATATCAGTATTTTATGACCGGGGAACTAAAAACATCCGTCTTTGAAGCCCAAAGGGGCAAGAATTGGCTGGACTAGAATTTTGTTTTTTAATGATTAGTCCGGTAAACTGTCGTTTCTGGACCTAGAGTTGTACCTGGGGCTACTTATCGTCTAGATCCTTTTTCGGGTGATTTTGTGTTGGGGAGATATTTTGGGGAGGGCATTCTGGGAAAATGAGAAAGTGAGTCGGATAAATGACAATTCCACCACTGGCCCCCCTCATGGAAATTTTTTTCGAAAAAAAATTTGGGAAGGGAAATTTGGGGGAGGAACAAAATTCAAAATACTGGCTTTTCGAACGTATTAGATCCACTCACGTTTGGGCCAGCTTCATTTTTAAAAATTTCCCTCATAAATTATACATTTTGTTTTTTCAGCTCGTGATGGGTTCAATAAGAATGTCAAAGAAAACTGAATTTGTGAGGACGGCACCATATACACTTGACTGACTTATTTTTGATCAGTTTTTTTTAAATATTTTTCATTTTATTCAATTCGACTTAAAAATAAATTTGTTTATAGACCCACATTTTTGACCTCTAGCATTTAATTTGGGTTGATCTTTTTTTTGTTATTTTTCTGGTTTTTTGCTATTTTTTAAATTACCAACCCAAATGAGGAAAAGGTTGCTTTTTCTAATTTTTTTGGAAATCGGACCTCTCTATATAAGGTACACCCGATATTGGCTACATCCTCTAAAATGAAATTTTGCTTCTTCAGTTCGGTTGGCCGTTAGTTGTGGTGGAAGTGAAGGGGAAGGGGCTTCCTAAACGATAACCTCCTATTTAATTTACACCTCATTAAGGTTTTTTATCTCTAAAGGGGACCTAGAAGTCAGTGGATATGATTGTTAAATTCATATTGCCCCTATAAAATATTTGATAGAAAGCAACCTTTTCCTATGCAAATATTCATTGTCCTTTTATATCGGATATATTAAACCACACACATTTAATAAAAATCAATTTTTCAAGTTAATCAATTTCTTATAAAGAGTCTCAAAGACTTCGTATCTAAACTTTAAAAAACATTTTAAATTTGTCTGATTATCTTATTTTAGCTTCTGACAAAACTGGAACTCTTACAAAAAATATGATGACTGCGTGTGTTGTTATTTCAGCAGATGATTGTCAGGCAGAGGTTTTTTAATCATTATTTTTTTCTTTCAAAAAGTCCCCAATGGTAAAGGTACCTTAAATTTTAAGGTAACGGGTACTGGTTATGCCCCTTTTGATGGGGATTGTCTTCAAAATGGAGAATTAGTTTCTGGAAGTGAACGTCACCCTTCCATTGCTTGTGTCATTGAAATTGGCTGTATATGTAATAATGCACAATTGGCAAATGGAACAGTTATTGGACAACCAACAGAAGGAGCTTTAATGGTTTTGGCTATAAAAGTAAATAATTTTGAATTTAAAGAAAAAATTTTTTTATTAAAATTTTAGACAAATATGTACACTTTATGCAATAATATTCGACGTCTTCATGAAATCCCTTTCACTTCTGATAGTAAATGGATGGCTGTTCAAGTAGAACAATTAAATAAGGTTTGTTAAATTTTAAATCCTACACCCCTCTGGATAAGCGCCTGAGTGTTTGAAAGCTCGTATTAAAAATCCTACTCGGGGTAAAATAGGCAGATGGAGTACGAGTCTATTGAAAGATCGGACTAATTACGTTACGAGCAAAACCGAAATTTCCAATAACCGTCTTCAAGGACTAATTTTGAAAAATCTCCCTAAAGTCTCGATGCTTGACTTGGTTAAAAAAATTAGCCACGAAAAAAATAAATCTAACAGCTTTAATAAAATATTTTTTTTAGCCAGGCGAAGTTGAAACATTGGTAAAAGGAGCGATTGACAGAATTCTAGATATCTGTATTGGCTATTTGGAAAATGGAAAAATAAAAATGCAGATGACTAAAGAGAAGTATAATCAAATAATTCAAACAGCTAGTGGCTTGGGTCAATCTGGACTTCGAGGTTTTCTTTTTGGAAAATTTTTTCTATCAAAATTTCTAGTAATTGGAATGGCTAGAGGTTCAGATATGCGTTCTCTTTATTATGCTGGACTTGTTGGAATATTCGATCCTCCTAAACCTGGATGTCTTCAATCGATAGAAATTGTTCAGTCAGCAGGAGTTTCTGTAAAAATTGTGACTGGGTATGGGCTGGAAACTGCAACAAGCATTGGTATTTCTATTATTTCTTTGAGTTTTGTTTAAGTAACATATTATACTAGAATAATTGCTAAAGTTTCAGATTTTTAGAATTTTTTTCTAATAAGTTATAACGCTAATCTTACGGATCCTGCAAAGTAGTAGCAATCTATCTGGCAATAAGGGTTTCTGTAAAAATGGCCTGGGTCAATAGTAGTGTATTCGTCTTGTCCCCGAGCCCTCAAAACAGTTCGGGAGTTCCCTTACATAGTAAAGTAGTTGTCTTGTCCCCTGCTGAAATTAATTTATGATTTTAAAGTCTTTTTTTTCTATTATTACTCAAACTTTTTTCAGGTATTCGTCTTGGACTTTACAAACAAAACATTATGTGGCTTTCTGGACCTCAAATTGATGATTTAAAAGATTCTGAATTGGAGCAACTTATTCAAAGTGTTACAATATTTTATAAAGCTTCTCCTAGACATAAATTACGAATTGTTAAAGCACTTCAAAATATTGGAGAAGTTGTGGCAATGATTGGTGATGGAGTAAATGATGCTGTTGCTTGTAAAAAATCTGATATTGGAGGTTTTTAATTTTTTTTATTCTAATTGTGTGATATGAACATGATTTAAGTAGAATTAAGGGGCGATATCAGGTTTCCTTGAAATCGCGTCAAGGATAATTAGGAGTTGTACAGCTATGTAAATTATACCTTTCACAATCAGTCTGACCAGCAAGGGCGTATCCGGGGGGGGGGGGGGGGGGGTTGCGTTCGTTTTTTGGGCTTGATCCAATTCAAATGAATTTTGGGTGATTTTTTTGTTTTTTTTGGATTTTTAAAATTTTTTTAAATTACCAACCCAAATGAGAGAAAAATTGATTATTCTACTAGTTTAGTTTAAAAGCCGGACCTCCCCACAAAATACTCCCAATATTAGGTATATTTAAAATAAAAATTTAAGCGTTCTATTCTCTTCCAACCGAAGCAAAACTTGATGTCTTTAAATGTCTCAACCATCAACAATTATGTGAAATCAATCAAACAAATTTGTATTTTTATAACTTTATCAATAATTTTGAAGGAGAACTTGCTCGGGAGGAATTTGATGAAATTTCTATAGTAATGTTTTTTAATTTATTTAATTTCTAAATATGTATTTTTAAGGGATATTTAAACAAATATGACCTTTATTATTCTCAATTTGTATTTAGTCCTGAAGATGAAAATTTTGACTTTCCATTGAATGAACAATTTGAAGAGAAGGTTAGATTAAAATATTTTTTGAACATAAAAGTTTTTTTTAGTGGAAAAATGGATTAGAAGACCCAATTCCTTTGTATTTGGCTAATGATGAGTCAAACAAAAACATTGTTATTGAATTAACTAAAGGTTAAATTTTGTTATATGAAATTTTCTAGCGGGTGAGGGGTAACTCTGTCGCGAAGCGACAAAAGATGAGGAAAATAAAATAAATATATTTTAATTTATTTCTAAATTAATCATCACTTTTTGCAAATTCCTTTTTCGGACTTTCACCTGGCTAAAAACCATTTTTGCTGTAAACATCTATTCAAAACCTATTTACATTTTTAGTCCTTTTGTTCTAAAACTTAACTTTATTTTCCACTCTTTTGTATCATTCAAATATGTGCATTTTTATTTACTCGTTCCTATTATGCCTTTAATGATCGAAATATTTTTCTGTCTACCCGCCTATTTTTCTGGCCTATATAATCTCCCACCCCAACCCCCAATTAGCTTCTTTCTGGGTTGGCTAGCTTTCTCATTAGCTCATTCTGTTTGGCTTGCTTCTCTTGGTTTTATAGCTCTGGTTCCTATTTGTGGCCTTATCATTAATCTATTTGTTGGACTATTTAATTGTGTGAAATAAACTTTTTACTATTTGTTTGGTTTTAATTTATTTGGTGGTCAAATCCCTCGGCCAACTGCGTTGGAATCTTTTGGCCTAATCCAAGTAAAAGCTTTTGCTGAATTAATTTGTTGGTACTAAACCCTTGGCCAATTGTGTTGGAATCTTTTGGCCTAACCCAGCTTTTGCCCCTATTTGTGTATTGGCTCTATTTGTTTGCTATATATTTTTTGGTGCAACGGCCGGGAACCTTGTGGTCTAGCATTCGTGCAGCATCACAACCCCGAGCAGCCTGTGTTCAATTCAAGAAGAGCCAATTGCCTAAACTTTTGATCTATTGTTGGAATCTTACTTTATCTACTGTTGCAACTTTTGAAGCCACTTGCCGCTTATCTGTGTGACGATAATGTCAGTAAAAATCCGAACTAATTTGTTGGTCGCTCTGAGCGAGATGCAATTCTATTCTGTAGAGGCTATGCGTATAATGAAGATGGAACAAGACGCTAACACCTACCGTTTGCTAGATGTTGAAAAATCACATTTGTTGGAAACTATTTCTAAAATAGAGAAGCTCGACCTCCAATGGAACAAACATATGTCTAAACTGCATGGTTTAAAGAAATTAGCTGAAGAAGATTTATATAAGGATTTTCCATCTAACGAACCTTCTTATGAGTTCATGCCAGACTTCCTACTCTCTCAACAGCACTTTGTTACCCAATGCGAATTTGCCCGACAAATGGCGGTTTCAATTGGACTAATTATGGAGGATCTTGGCCGGCTCCCGGAAAATGCGTCAGAGGAGAATGCAGACAGTTCTCGCCCATCTGAAATGAACAAATCGTCAGATAACTGTACAGACGATCTAGGAGACCAAAATGGGAAAACGCTTGAGCCGCCTATTCCAAGGCCCCCGGACAATCCGTCACCTACGCCACAGCCGCCTATGGTTAATAAGGATCGAGTGGTGGAACAGAACCGTTGCCTGAAGTGCTCATTATGTAGAGGGAACCACCTTCCGAGCCATTGTACAAAATATAGCAACCCCAAAGCGAGGAAATATAAATTACTTAAGCAGCACCGTTGCCTTAACTGCCTGAGGGATGACCATCTAACCTTTGATTGCCAAAATAATCGACGTTGCAGTAAGTGTCGCGGAAAGCACCACTTCATGGTTTGCTATTCACGTATACCAAAAACTCAAATGTTGGAACCTATGCGAAAAAGCTATGTTCATTGTTCGAAGCCGGCTGGGATGTTTGAATCAAAAAAGCTGCTGGATGAAAAGACGAAAGCTCTCCAAGAGAAGGATAAAAAGATAGTGAAATTGATGTCCGAACTTATGTTGGCTCGCAAAAAGGCCGAGGATGAATCCAAAAAAGCTAAACGATTAAAACGTCTGCTGGATGAATCTAATCAGAGGATTGTGGATGATCATGGAAAAAGAATTCTGAAAGAGACTCGTGTCAATGCCCTTCAGAAGGCTAATCGAAAATTGATTGCCAGAAATGGTAAGCTAAAACGGGAAGTGCACGCCTACCACAAAAAATGCCAACGGGAAAAGCTGGAACCACCAGAATTCTATGCCTTTTGCTGCTCGTGGATGGATGTAAAAATGTTCATGAGTGTCGTTGCCGCTTTTGCTATGATTCTGAATAGCGCTAGAGATGCTTTGAGGATGTTTATTCGCGCACCCAATAAACTCTGGAAATGTAAAACGAATGAAAAGATGGAAAAGGAATTGACTCTGAAAACTCCCTCTTGGCTTTCCTTAACGCTTTTCGCCTCCGCTGTTGCGTTCAACCCCAATTGGACCTTCCTCGCCATCTTTGCTAATGTTATGGATGGTTGGGCACATGCATGGAAAGAGAGCAGAAAATGTGCAATGGATGAAGTGCCGAAGAAAAGAAGGAAAATACTTGAAAGATGGAAAAAAGAAATCGAGGATGAAACTTTAGACGCGGGCGGGAATGTCGCGAAGCGACAAAAGATGAGGAAAATAAAATAAATATATTTTAATTTATTTCTAAATTAATCATCACTTTTTGCAAATTCCTTTTTCGGACTTTCACCTGGCTAAAAACCATTTTTGCTGTAAACATCTATTCAAAACCTATTTACATTTTTAGTCCTTTTGTTCTAAAACTTAACTTTATTTTCCACTCTTTTGTATCATTCAAATATGTGCATTTTTATTTACTCGTTCCTATTATGCCTTTAATGATCGAAATATTTTTCTGTCTACCCGCCTATTTTTCTGGCCTATATAATCTCCCACCCCAACCCCCAATTAGCTTCTTTCTGGGTTGGCTAGCTTTCTCATTAGCTCATTCTGTTTGGCTTGCTTCTCTTGGTTTTATAGCTCTGGTTCCTATTTGTGGCCTTATCATTAATCTATTTGTTGGACTATTTAATTGTGTGAAATAAACTTTTTACTATTTGTTTGGTTTTAATTTATTTGGTGGTCAAATCCCTCGGCCAACTGCGTTGGAATCTTTTGGCCTAATCCAAGTAAAAGCTTTTGCTGAATTAATTTGTTGGTACTAAACCCTTGGCCAATTGTGTTGGAATCTTTTGGCCTAACCCAGCTTTTGCCCCTATTTGTGTATTGGCTCTATTTGTTTGCTATAAACTCAAGGTATTCCAAATCACGGAACGGACAAGTCAAGGGAAAGACAATGCGTGTAACGGCCAACTCATGCGACGACCAAATCATAGAATATTTTAAAAATCGTAATTTTTTTAAAAATCTGGATATTTTTAAAAAATAGGAATTCTAAAAATATTAGAACAATTTAAAAAACAGAATTCAAAAAATTTTTATTTTTAGAAACATTCTAATTCTAAAAATATTCCATGATATAGTCGTTCCATGAATTGTCTGTTACAAGGCTTGCCTGTTCCTTAACTTGTCCGTTTCTTGGAGCGGCGGATTTGACCCCAATTTTTTATTTGATCTTTTCGGTCCTTTTATGTTAATAAGTTTTTGTCCGGGTTGCCCAAAAGATTTTTTTTATTAGTTTGAAAAAAGTTCATTTTTAGATAATCTATTCAATATCCGATTACCCACAATTATTAAAAGTTCAAAAAACTTGAAAATTGTTTATTATTATTTAAATAAATTGTTTAATTGTTCTTTTCAATATGGAAGTATTAATGAATTTATGTTCAATCCAGAATTAATTCAATTATTAATTAAAAATTCTTCAATTTATATGCAAACATGTCGTTTGGTTTTTACGGATGAGAATACTGAACATTTGCTACAATTTATTTTGAAGAATTATCTGGCTTGTAAAACTCTTTATTGTCATTTTGAACAAGTCAAAGACATTATGGAAAAATATAAAGATATTTTATTCAAAATTTTAACAAATGGAGGAGACAATTTTGAAGAAATTAATTTGAGTTTTGTTCCTCGTGTGGGATATAATTTTCCAGTAAACGTAGATCATAGAAGTGTTGCATTATTTTATGATTATATTGTTGAAGTAAGTTATTGGTAAATGTCTAGTTGACTCCACAAATGTCCGCAAGGAAATTAGGGAAATTGAAATTTCGGAAATTTCACTTTTCTTTCCTTTGCATTTTTGGCGTTGCAGACCAGGGTCCGTAAAATAAGAACTCGGTTGCTGGTTAGGTAACCACCAACCGGCGGTTTTAACCGGTAAAATAAGACGGTCGTAAGGTTAACCATGACCTTGTGGTTAGGTAACCTTACGACGGTGGTTAACCACGTGGTTTTCTTATTTTACCGGTTTACTGTGACCTTGTGGTTACCTAACCATGGTTAGGTGACGAAGGTTAGGTAACCATCGTCAGGTGACCGAGTTCTTATTTTACGGGCCCAGAGGGGAGGATTTTTATTTTATTCCTTGGACATTTACATATCTACTAACATGTTATTCACAAATAAGTAAGCATAAAAATAAATTCAAATTTTAGTATATGGCAACATCTAGAGACTGTTCAAAAATGGTTGCTTTTATTTGTTTACAATTTGTTAATTCTACAAATCATCAATTAAGTGGAAGAGCAGAGAAGGTTGAAATTAAACAAAAAAACTCCACAAAATATGCAGATTACCAAATTGCCAATATTCACAATCCAGAAGTGAGATTCTTTTTTTGCAACAGAGAATGGAATGGGATATCAAAATTTTATATTAAAATCCAAAGAAACAATGTATGCACTGATTCACTATCGTATATTGTCGACAGCTGGCCTATATCTTAGACCACATTTAATAAAATTTTGTTTGTAAATTTCTTGTAAAGAGGCTAGTTAAGTTTGGAAGTCGCCCCCCTTTTTCCTTTCTATTTTCCTACTTTGTTCTCAATTTATGGCAATTTATATATCATTCGCAAGAAAAATGCCTTAAGTGAGCAAAGTTGTGACCGTTTAATTTATTCCCTTGCATTGGCACAAAAAATTTTCCCAACTAGGATTTGGACTCATAATTTTGGTAAGAATCATTAGAATGGAATAGGATATCAAACAGTTCTTCGTATACACCTCATCTCTCAAAAAATATTCGCCCAGAAAATATTCACTAATATTAAAATTCTCCAAAAAACAAAAATTTTTTATCATGTAAAGCTGAAAGAATGGGCAAAGCTCTCACAATTTTTAAAGGGCCAAAAAAATCACTTGAAATTTTTAAAAAGTATCAACATTAAAATAAATAATTTAACCAAATTCTGGTGTTTAAAATTCTTTTTCAAATTAATCATCTGGATGGCATGGGCAAGTGTTTTTACGCAAGAACCATTCATCAATACAACTGAAATTAAAAAAAAAATAAAATTTGTTAGGTTAATGGAAGCATGGCTCTAGTGCAAGACATTAATATGCGCGGCATTGTATGCGAGTTTATTCGATTTTCCGAGTCTTTGATATTTACTTTAGGTTATATAGTTACTTTAGGTTCTTGTTCTGGTTTCTACTACTATTTTAGGGACATTCCGTTAGCTTGTAGTTGATCAATGACCCGTTAGCTTGAATTCAATTTTACGGAAACTTTTAGTAACTAATTTGCTAGAAAACTACGGGTGGTCCAAGACAAATTGACCACAAATCCCCCAAACAGGAAAAAGTTTTAAGGAACCAAAGGCAAATATTTAAAACTTTAAATCGAATAAAAACGAGTCTGTGAGCCGCGTGTCATTCACCAAGGACGTAACGGATTGAGAAATGCACTAGAACCTCCAAAAAACCTCTCCAATTTATAAAATCAAAAAAGAAACCTTTTATGAAAAATGCAAAGACATGGAAGTCTAGCAATCAAATTTCCACTATCCATATCTTCCAAACAAATAGGACATTCATCTTTTTTATCAGCAAGAATTTCTTCTAAAATTTAAATTAAAAAAAATTTTTTGAACAAAAAATTCAAACCGTTATATTTAATACGTGGTTGTTGAGCTTTATATCCGTTTTTAACATTTGAAGTATGACAATCTAAAAAATGTTTTCTTTGTGAAATTTTTAAGAGAGAATTGAAGTTTTTAGATTTTTTTTTATTTTTTTGGTTAGCCGTAGAGGGAATTCCAAAAAAAATTTTTCCAAAAAAATTTTCCCAAACGCCTAAATACAAAACCCTCAAAATACCGAACAGTGGAAAAATACAAACAAGGTTTTACAAGAAATAAAAACGGTACCGTGTTATAATACCAAAAGCTTGAAATACCATCACTTGAAATACCAAAAGCTTGAAATACCAAAAATTGTAATACCAAAAGCTTAAAATACCAAACCCCCAAAAGCTGTTAAAATACCAAATTGTGGAAAAAAGCTTAAAATACCAAACCCCCAAAAGCTGTTAAAATACCAAACCGTGGTAAAAGACTTGAAATACCAAATAAATACCAAACTAAAATTTTTTGTTATTTCTGTTAGAATTTTTTGTTAAATTTGTTGTTTCGAACTTTAAATTTTTTTGTTTTTCCAACAAGTATGTTGTTGTTCCAATTGAATCTTCGCTGTAAAAACTGTTTTTGTGCTGCTACGGAGGGTAGGCCGGGCATGGTCTTCGCTACACGATGGCCGTGCTTCGCTGCGGTCGTGCTCGCTTCGCTCGCGGCGACCGTAGCGAAGCGGCGGCCGTCGTTCCGCTCGACATGCCCGGCTTCCTCCGCAGCGGCAAAAACTTTTTTCCGCGAAAACCTTGTGGAAGGGGTAAAAACAAACGGTCATAACTTTGTTAAATCATTAATCATAACTTTGTTAATCCATCCCCCGTTCACGGGACAATCTCCCCCGATCACTGAATCAACATCCCCCGACATTGGAACGACACTTTGGTATTTCAACAGCTTTTGGGGGTTTGGTAATTCAAGCTTTTTTCCATGGTTTGGTATTTCAACAGCTTTTGGGTGTTTGGTATTTTAAGCTTTTTTCCACAATTTGGTATTTTAACAGCATTTGGGGGTTTGGTATTTTAAGCTTTTTTCCACGGTTTGGTATTTTAACAGCTTTTGGGGGTTTGGTATTTTAAGCTTTTGGTATTATAACAGGCTCCGATAAAAACAAGCTTCAACCACAAAGGTGAAGGTTGTTCCCCATCAACGTGAAAAGTTGTTAACCATCCACATTTTGCCATTTTCGGCTCGTCTTTTGAGGGTTTGGATCTTCCTCACCACCCCTGAAAAAATCTTGGCTACGGGCCTGACCTAATTATAGAGTATGATTTTTCAGCCCCAGGGAGTGTATGAGGTTTTCGACTATATAAAAAAACCACTGGGAAAATTTAAAAAAGAAAAATAAGCAATCAAAAATCAAACCAATATTAGCAGTCGGCCCTCGTCCAAAATATCCTCCCGGACGATTATAACCATTTAAACGAATAATTGTAGTTCCTCCAGGTCGAATAACAACAGTTGGCATTCGCAAAATAGGTTGTTGATGTTGTTGTTGCACTCGGTTTGTATTAGTTGGAGGTTCACTAGTAAAAGACCACCCTACGGCAGGCGAAAATAGTTGTTGATTAATACAAGCTGGAGGCTGATACGGACAGAAGTTCTTTTAAAAAAATTTTTTATTATAATGATAGAGCCAAAAAGAGGGCATAGTTTTGGTGGCTTTAACTCGAAAAATTCGGCGCCGAAATTTTCAAAAGCCCCTCTCCCCCTTGAAATTTTTATTGTGCCTGATAGTTACGTTCATGGGCCCCCTTTTTAGAAGAATTGACACATAATATGGTCGGCACCCGTAATGGAATGGTTTGAGAAAGTCAGGTAGGATTATGGAATCGGGTTTCGAGTTGAAAAAAGCCTGGACCACCCCAAAAATTAATAAAAATACCACATGGTTGAGCGTTACAGTTGGTTGAGCCTGCGGTTGCTGACGACCATTAACCGTTAAATTTATGTGCGCTGGCGGTGGATTCATATGAACCGAAGGCATTGGTGGAAAAGAAACAAAAGACATCCGAGGCGGTGAAATCATAGCAGGAGACGAATTTGTTGCAAGAAGAGGATAGGGCGGTTGAAGTTGTTGTTGTGGCAAATATTGACTTGATGTAGTCGTCAATTGATTGGTTTGAAGCGCAAAAACGTTCTGGTTAGAACGGCCCAAATTAATGTTCATATTTGTTGAGTTGGCAGGTAGAGGATTGTTGTAATTCTTAAAAGAACAAAAAATAGAGCATCAGAATTGGGGATCGGAGAATCTGAGACCTTTCACCGGACAGATGGAGGTGAGGAAGATCGAAAGGGCAGGGATTAGAATACTCAAATGTCGGACCTGAAGTCGGATTCAGAAAGTATTTCGAAAATTGAAAGAAAAGTTTTGAGCCCAGAAAAAGGACACCCCTCTGATATCAAGATCATCGATCTGACAGAGTCAAAAACAAAATCACATAACTCGATTCACAAAAAATCAAGATCAGGAAAAACCAAGAAACCCCAAAAATCCCTCGAATGAATCCAAGAAAAATTGACTAGAATCCTTTTCGGCATCAAGAATCCTTTTTGGCATCAAGAACCCTTGTCTGACATCAAATAAATGAACCTGACCAAAAGACTTGACCTCGAGTCAAGGAAAAATCAGGATCAGGAGAAACCAAATACCCGTGAAAGTCCCTCGAATGAATCCAAGTAAGTCTACAAACATTAAACCATGTCCTACTTCAGACCCAACCCCCGTCTCTAATAAAAAATTTAAAAAACCTGTTGAACCCCAAAACTTGGAATTTGTTGAACAACCCGTTGCGGCATCATTTGTTGAAATTGCACTTGAGATTGAGTAGCACCTTGACGCATAACAGCACCATAAATAAGCGGAGTAGATTGGTGTTGAACAAAATTATTACGAGGTTGACCATTTTGGACCCCAAAATTTTGGGCCATTGAAAATGAAGGAATCATATTTTTAAGGCAATAATGGAATGTGGGTAAACGAACTGAAAATGATAAAATTAAAATATTTTTCTCAAAGACTAAATTTTGAGACCGTTAAATGACTTAAAAATCAATTTTAAAAAATTTATTGATTTTTTCATTATGCCAGCAAACGTCAAGAAGAGGGACACGCCCATTTAGGCGCGCGACCATAACGGCGCAGAGCCATAACTAGCTGGAAAATTTATGGACCTTAACAATTTTGGTACGAATTTCTTAAGCTCGATGAGAGGAATCGTTTAATACTAAATTTGGTAAGATTCGGACATCTTGAAGCAAGTTATGACTTTGCGCCGTTGTGGCCGCGCGCCTAATTGGGCTGTACCCTCCGCAATTTTCTTTAGGAAATGAATAAAATTCTGAGCTCGAACAAAACTTGTAGATATCTGCAAGTCATTTTTATGAAGAAAAAAGGCTTGACGAATTACCCACAAGTCATTTTTCCATAGAATAATAGAATTTCGTTTTGCGGACAAAACTTGCGGACATTTGCTCCCTCAATGGAAAAACGTGCCTAAAATTTGTTTATTCACGGATCTGACTTATCAAAAAAATTAAAAAAAAATTTCCTAAAATTCAATTAAAATAAAAACCACAAAAATAATCAAGTGGATAAATTAAAAAAAACAAAATTAAGAAAAAATATTTATTTAAAAAATATAGCAAAAATGTGTAAAATATAAGCGCAAAAAAATAAAAAAAAGAATTGTTGATTGAATAATCAACGGTGTTTGTGTTGATAATATTTATTGAAACCTGTTTTTGCTTTTTTAAAAAAAATGTTTTTTACAAGGATAGAAAAATTAGTAAATGAGCGAAAAAAGATTTTTGTTTAAGATAAAAATCCATGTTTTTAAGGTAAAAGTTGTAAATTCAGACCACTTTGAACGCGGCTTTAAAAAAGAAGAATTTTGTTAAAAATGGGCAAAATAAAATTATTTAAGAGCCCCTCCTCCCTTGAATTCACATTTTTTCAATTTCCCGTTCAAAAAGACTTGGACCAGGGCTGGGCCGGATGAGATTGTTTGGCGTTCCGGATGCGGATTTTTAGACGCCACTTGAATTCCCATTCTCTCAATTCTTCTGATTTCAAAGACCTGGATCAGGGTTAGGCCGGATGAGATTACGGGTCAGAGTTGGAATCTTGGAAACTAGGAACCAAGAATTTCAGCTCCTATAACTCTTATGACCTGGACCGGGGTCGGACCCGATTCAATGCATACTAGTTGTTCGATGCATACGAGTTTTGTGGAAATTTCGATTGAGAAGCTCGCCTCTACCTTCTATTAATATTTTATAAATAACCTTCGCAGCACAAAAAAGAAGTTGTAAGAAAATGAAGAGTTAAATATAGTGTAAAATTGCAAGATTCTACAAAAAGATAATTTTTCAAATTGTATTTGGAAAAGAAAAAAGGAAAACTCTTCGATTGAATGCTCTTGTAGAGAAACAAAAAATTTTTAGTAATTGAAAAGAAACTTTACAGAAGAGAGAATGGACATCCAGAAAAATTTTTTACAATAGTTGTATTCAAAGATTAATCATCCTCAACTGGTGGATGTTCGGGACAAGTATTCTTCCTTTTAAACCATTCATCGATACAACTAAAGAATAAAAATAATTTTTTGTTTATGTTAGAAGAGTACCCAGTCAGAGTTTTCTATAAAATACCCTCTTGAAAAATCGTACCTAATAAGAGATGTATCTTAAATTGAGGGATATTGCTTAGGTGAGAACATATCGGGACGGACATATAAGAAATTTAAAGGTCCGAACAGCTACTTTACTGGTTTCAGGACCCTACGGCCATTGAGTCTTGGACATTACATTGTCTATTTATATGTTTTAGAACCAACCTAAAACAACAAAAAGATATTTTTGTCACCACAATTCCGATATGTCCGTCCCGCTATGTCCCCCGGGCTACGGGCCTGTGTCTCCCTACCATTTAAGTAGCTATCCCCACCCATAGGCCAACCAAATTAAAGAAGGGAAGTCCAACTGTGTAAGAGAACCGATTTTAAGATTGTTCAGAACCTAGAACCTTGTTTGTTTCATGGTGTGGAAAGAAAATTTTCGGAAGGGCCTTATTATCGGAAGGGCTCCTTTAGAAAAACTTATTTATCCTCAAAACTATATAATCAAAAAAAACCTCTCACATTTTGTGATAAATACATAGACAAGGCAATCGAGCAATATTATCTCCCTCAGACATATCCTCCAAACAAATGGAACATTCCCCTTTATCAGCGGTTAAAACATCATCTATTGAGAGAATTTTTAAAGAAAATTAAATTAAAAAGAAAACCATTGTAAGAAAGCACTGGTCTAGTAAAACACATAACCAAATGCATCTCTACATCTTTTAAAGGCACAATTTTATGGCACACTGGACATTTTATATCACGACCTAAAATAAATCAATTTAAGAGGGTTTTGAACTCTTTAATATTAAAGATGGAATTTGGGTGGTTTTGAAGTTTATGACAGCTTCTCTTTTTCCCCAAATTAACATTTAAAAGTAGGGCCGGTTAATTTGTTCAATAGCGGTTAATTTTTGCCGGTGACGTCTCAAGGTAAGAATAAGAGAATTTGAGGGGCCACAGGCAAAGGTTAACCGGACGAGAGGTACCCTAATTTATATTAATAAAGGATCCATTTCTGTAGTAAAATTCTATCACCAAGGCCTTAAATTAGTAACACCCAACAAGGTTTTTTCTAATCTAAAAAAAGGAAAAGGCACGCTTATCAAGGATGCCCCGGGCCGAGAAAAATGCTGGATCGGTTTTTGGGTCGAAAAGGTACGGGCATTGGGCTTCGGATAACCCGTACATCTCTGGTGATTTAAAAAAATTTGGTGGTAAGGTATGGGAAATCCAAAAAAATTTATACCAATTAACTGCAAAAGTGGAAGAGATTGACGTAAACGGCCCAAAGCTGCCTGTTGTTTTTGTGTTCCCATCACCCGCATTGAACTGCTAGAAGCAGAATTCGAAGCAAGGCTATCCTCCATTCCACGTAATAAAGCTTCGAGACGTCCACTAGACAATAATTCACCTGCAGAGGAAGTTGAGTTGCTAACCAAAGCACGACGAGACCTGAAAAAAATTTTTAAAGTCCCCTTTAAGTGACTATGAGATAGAAGTTCTCTTTTTCCTTCCCAAGTTTTTCCTCAAGGTCAGATTTTCCTCCCTTTCTCCTACCCAAAATAGAATAAAAACTAAAGGGGGAATTTGGAAGGGTAAGTCTGCCCGAACCTGGGAAAGAAAAAGGAGTCCAGCGGCCATTTATCCTAAATTGGGGGTCCTCAAAGTACTGCGTGAGCTTTGTGTAACAAAAAAAACCTTTGACTACCACCAAAGCGATTAGTTCTAGGGTTTCTGTTGTGGAAGAACCCGTTATTCAATGTACTCCCTCCTTCACTACGTCGAACATTAGTACGTTGAGCAGAGTTAGAAGACCCAGTTGTTGATGGTGAAACACCTAAAAAGACAAAAAACAAAATCATCAAATTATTTCAATGCAAAGGGAAAATATTAGAAGCCAGGGAAGACAAAAATTTATGCAAGGCAAACATGGAAAATTCTTTATAAGCAGCAGATAATTAGTCCCTATCCACTTTTTCGTGGTGGGGTTTACAGAAGCACAGAGCCCAAGATCAGGCACATAACCAGGAAAAATTCCCTCCCAGGCTACTCGCTTGCCCAGAATCCGATCCGGGTCTGCGGATATAAAAACCATTCTGTGGGCAAGGTTTTGTAGATCTCAAGCTCTACTATCCAGACTAAAGCAAAAAAAAACAAGAAAATACAAAACCTGAGCTAAGGCCAAGATGGCTCATCAGAATAGAAGCAAAATTGAAATCGCCAGCCCCATCCTCTTCGCTCCTGTTATCTTCATCAGTTGAGGTTCTATTTGAAGGGGACGATGAGGAAGAAGACTAAAAATGAGTAAGATAAATCCCTTGCTTGGTCACAAACCGTATCATTCTGTTGGAACCTTGAGCGTTGATTGTTGCTTCTATGTCTTTGGTGCCTAGAAGCCAAACCGTTGGAAATATCGGAACTGGTACGTGGCCTGTGCTAAAAAACAAAAAATTTAAATTTGAAAAAATCGAAAAAAATTTATACAGCAACATCAGCGCCAGGTTGTTGAACTGACGACCTTTGTCCCATTTACAAATTAGTTGATGAATAGTGAGAGGCAAGTCCGGTTAGAAAAATAAATTTGGTAAAAATAATATTTCAGCTCCTGAGTTAAAAAAACGTTGATTTGACTTTAATCTAAAAAAAAAACAAAAAACACGTTAAATTGAAAGACACGTTAAATTTAGGTAACTATTGAATGGAGAAAGCTCCCTAAGTAAACCCCTCAAGTGAAAATACCCCTCATTATAAAATAAACATCATTATCCAAAAGTTGAACATTTTGAACCCCTGTAACCTATGTTTTCTTGATTAACTTGAACGCCAGTAACTAGGCTCGAAGATCTCTCTACTGACTAATCTTGGTGTCATTCGACTATCTCGACGAGCTCAATCGATCTGTAAAATGATTGACCATTTTGTACATCTCAAACAAAAAACCGGAATGGAGGAAGGATGAGATTAGATAAGTCCAGGATTTTTTGGTACTACTGCCGTCATCCAGCCAATTTCTTTCTTGATGTACAAAATGGTCAATCATTTCCCCAAGGGGGTATTTCATAACTACCACTGATTTATGAATTCTAGTTGGATCTTGACTAAAAATTAATCGTTCAAAGCTCAATTAATAATATGTAATTTTTATCACCCTATTAAAACCCTAACAAATAAACTTCCTTATCCAAATAAAACGGAAATGAACGCAATGAGGACTTTAAATGAAACAAAAAATAAAAAAAACAGTGAAGAGATAACTTGCCTCTTTGCTGTTATTAAAGGAAGAAAAATAGAGTAGTAATAGGGGCAGATGGGATGAAGATT